ACACTATTTTTAAGTGAAAACTTTATTCCACTTTTAACCACTTTAAATAACAGTGACATGTATTTATATACCGAACTCACCGTTAAATCATGTTTCTTCAATTCCTCTAAACACTAAAAAATATTCCTTGCTAAAAAATATTTTCCATACTGTCCTTACCATCATCATTATGAGGCCGATTCTCCAAAATAAGACCAATTTTATGACAAGGCTATATTTTGTAGCAGTTTTCATACAAAACAGTACTAATCGTACTGACGAAAGCCATGTGGTTTCTGTGCAGTCTAGCAGTTTTAAATAAAAAAAAACTGGATCTTTGTGATATGGTTTGATAACATATGAGTAAAGTTGCTTCTTGACAGTATTTAATATGATTTTGTATGAAAACTGCCACGTAAATACCCTTACCCTATAATAAGTCTATTTTATGGCAGAATCGGCTCATATATCTACTTATTTTGTTTTCAACAGAAATCCTGACGATGACAAATAACTAGTACAGAAACTTTTTAAATGGAGTTGAGTTAATACTATCTGTAATTTTGAGTTTACTGTTCAGGAATCAACTCAGAGCAATAAAAAATCTAGGATTCATTATAGAGACTCAACAAAGCATTTAGCCATATGCATTATTTTTATCCATATTCGAGTTTCATATTAGGTTCTAGGACAACCTGTATATAAATGTGTGTATTTACATCAATCCGTTTATATATTCTTATATAAAAAATGGAGATCTCGATAAAATCCAACGCTAAAACTCGAAAACGGCTAAAACCGATTTGGCAAAGGTGAGATATTTCAAAATCGCGTAGAAACTTTACATTTTTAATTTGAAAATTTTGGTAGAAGCATAATTTGAGTAAAACAATGGACGGTAGCTAATACTCCAATGTCAATAGGAATGTTTTACGTGAATATTTTCAATTAAAATTAAATTGTAGTAAGTAGTTTTGCTCGTAGTTATATTTATACCCAAAAACGTTATTAAACGGATCGCAAGTTTTATAAGAAACTCAAAATATCAACTTTTTGAAATGTTAATATGAAAATGCATTTTTTGGCGTTGTAGCACTCCTTTTTTGCAAATCATATTTTTCTCAAAGACGGTGCTCTGAAAGATCTCATTTGTAGAATTATATACTCATTGGTATTTATAAAACATTTTCTAGGTTATTTATTTTTTTATTTATGTTAGTTCAATTCTGAACCTAAATTTGGTATCGATCAAAGGGACATATTGTCAAATAACTATTCCCAATTATAATTTCCCAGAATTTATCGAAGAATAGATAATAATATGAAGGTCCGGGGTTAAAAAGGTCCACCACCGATGTGTCAAAAACCAGTAAAGTTAAGCATTGTTCAACAACAATATTTGAAAGTAGAGGGAAAAGATGTGTAACCAGCTATACCTCAGTTTATGTTTTTATAATACCTCATTGTATGTAGCATTCAAACAACACATCTTTATAAACGTAAAGTATTAATTTTTTTGATACTCTAGAAATTGTTTAGAATATACCTTACTCGGCAAAACAACGTTTGCCGGTTAGCTAGTAATATAATAATATTTATGTAATACTTATTATATATAAATAATTTTAAAAAATTTAAGTTTACCGACAACAATTCGTTGGTATTAACATTTTTAACATATTGATGCTACAAACTTTTTAGACACCATGCCCAATAATAGAAACATTTCCAAGTGCAACTGGATATTATTACAGCATGATATAATGCAGTTTAAAAACGCTATATATATTTTTGGTTACAAGGTCCGTTTATATAGTCATTTTTATATGATTTGTTTTTTGTTTCAGGTTTATCAAAATTTGCAAAACTGGCTCGAAGTGTAACGCGATCGAGGAGCGTTTTAGCGAGCCAATTCAGCGCTCACCTGCCGGCGCTAAAAGATCCGGCACAAAAATCACATCTAGCCCATGTCAGTCAGGTAAAATTTAATATTTATTTGAATTCGGATAAAAATTTTATGATTACACTAAGTCACGCATTCGCGAATGACTATTGTTAGATTCGAAGTAATTAATTAATCGCTAATTATTAATTGAAGCGCATATCGTGATTGTGCATAGTTTCCAACTGAAAAGAAAATCAAGGCCTCTTATTTTTATACTTTTATATATACATCTACATGAGTATTAATGTATTTATGGGCTTAATGTTATTAATAGTTAATAATATGCCTTAATTTAACTTATATGCGGATTTTATCTATTTTTTTATAAATATTTACGTGCATACTTTTTTTGATTAATTTATTTTATAGAGCAATTCACATTTTGAAAATTGCCTACGATCACGGATTTTATATCGCATTCTTTGTTAATAATTTGTTTGTATTTAAAATATTGTCATCTGGTTCCTTTTTACTACTGAATGATATCGTTGGCTAAAAAAGAATATATGTGCCTTATATACCTATATATTAATTTCAGTAGGATAAAATATAAGTTGTATAATTATGATTAGTTTCTACTATTTTAAATGACTAATGTACACGTATATAAAGTCAATAAAACAATAAAAAAATAACAACATTATTCAACCCATGCAAACACTGAGAGATTACACTGTATAAAACTTTGATCTGGTATTTCAATATCAGGGTATTTTAAAAATGATCATCAGCAGAGTTGGAATAACTTTTTATCTAACTTTATAACATTAATTTTGTTAACTTTATTTACTTTTTTTATTGTTACACATTTTCCAGATTGAAGTTTTAGTTGTTCTTTCTTACTCTCCACTCCACATATAAGCGTTTATGGAGATTATATAATAAAAAATTTGAATCTAACTTAAAATTAACAATTCATCTTATAATAAGTATTGTAAACATTATATTAAGGTCTCGTAAACTAAACAACCGTGCCACCAACAAAAAAACTAACAACTATAGATATACTTTTGTTACTAATTTTTCTGTTTCTAAAGTCCAATAATTCGTTGTAGAGACTTATGATTTCAGAAAAATTATTTCTTTAAATATGAGCAAATGTAGTATTTATATCAATTGAATGTGTAAAAAATTATGAATAATTTCTTCTCTAACTTCTTCTTTTCTTCATAAATTATGAAGAATATCCATTTCATTTCATCATAATTGCCTTTAAATTATGAATGTTTTCGCATCTGAAACGAGACAATTTATGCTTTTCAATTCACACAGCTTTATATCTTTATTTAATTAGAATTTTTATTACAACTAAAACTAAATAAATTTCGAGTAATAGTCATAATTGAAAATTTTAAGTAAGTGGCATTTTTCCTAAAGCATTTACCCTATCTATTCGTGAAAATAATCGACATAATCAATAAGAATTGTGTATAGAATTTTCAACTGCTTATTTCAAAATTAAAAATTTCACATTAACTGAGTTTCCAATTTGTTTGTTTTCACCACAAAATTCAGTTTGCTAATTTTATGCTTTGTCGACGCTTCAAGTCATTTAAAGTTTCAAATGAAAAGTAATAATAATAATAATAAAAGTAATAATAAAATTATATCAGAATAATAATAGGTATGATGACAAAAATAGTACAAAGTACAAGAGATTTAGGATACGCTGGTAAAAAGATCCACAATCGATATCTAAAAAACAAGTAAAGTTAAAAAAATTAAGAGAAATATTTAATAGTAGAGAAAAAAATATGTATAACCATCCACCGGTCACCGGTAGTTATATGTTTTTTTTTGTTGTGAGCACTGTTGTTTAGTTTACGAGACCTTAATATATGTTTTACGTATACGTTACTATAAGATGAATGGTTAATTTTAAGTTAGATTCAACTTTTTTATTATATAACTTTCATAAAAGCTTACACGGGTGGGGTAAAAAGGACCAACTGAAACTTTACCCTGGAAAAGGTGTAAACAATAAAAAAAAAAGTAAATGAAGTTAACGAAAACAATGTTATAAGACAGATAAAAAGTTATTCCAACTCTGCTGATGATTATTTTTGACGAGTTGTTATACAGTGTAATCTCTATGAAAAATGTACCCATTAAATTAATATTTTATATGGGTTGAATAATGATTGGGTTGAATGACATGGGTTTCGTAAATTTTTTTTTCAAAAATTTAAAATTTCACAAAAATCTATTTTTTTTTAAGTTTAAACATACTTAATTTTTTTTTAATTTAATTTTTGGTACGGGAAATTCCAGCAATTTGCCTTAAGGCACGATGCCATACACCACTAGTATATTATTATCTTGTTGGAATTAATATATAGGTATATATGGCACCATATATTCTTTTTTCAGTCAACAATATTATAAAGTTAGTAAAAGTAAGATATAGGATCTGTTTTGGAGTAAAAAAGAACCAGATGACAATTTCATTTAAAATCAGCAAAAAAGGAAAATTCTACAATGTTGAATTGGCTGGGAGTTTTACTTAACATAGTCAGATTGTTGTTTTGTTGATATGTGTTATTTATTGTGATATAATTGGTTTGGTTTTCACAATATAATTGTTCAAACTCAAATTGAACCTTTGTCCTATAAAAATTTGTAAACCTATATAATTAGCAATTTATTCTTGAACACATATCTATGTGCTTTAAGATAGGTATCATGATTTCATTCTCTTACATATCCACAAATCTACCAATTTATACAACTTTGTATGCACATATATATTAGGGCGGGTCGATTTAAAAGTCGCTTAGGCACATATAATTTTCGGATTCTAGGAATAAAAATAAGATACTTTGCTGAAGAAACCATACCTCTAAAATGAATTCTGATGTCCCGTGCATTGACCCAAGATAGGGATTGAATTTTGAAAAATTACGTTTTAATACATTCAGAGTGCTCTAACTTTGGAAGACCGATCCACCCATGCCTATTGTTCACACCCTGGGACCTACCCTTAGAGGTCTCCCATACAAATATTGCAAAAAATCAACGTTTTTGGTATTTTACTCAGCAAAAAATGTTTTTTTATACATTTTTTTTTCAAATATTAATTCAACACCCACAAAAAACTTTTTTACAAAAAAAATTTATTAAAATTCTTCTTTGTTTCAATTTTTCCAATGCATTTTGCCTGTGCGCTTCTATGCTAGCTAGAGGCTGTTACGGCGACGATATTAGAGAGCCGTGCAAAATTTTCCAGACTTGAAACTAAAAAAGACTTCAAACAATAGTTTATGAGTTTTACATAGTTTTATTTACAATGTTTTATGATTAAATAAATTTTATAATAAAAATAAATCGCAGATTTTTCTCATGTTGGAGTACTCAAAATAATGCAACTTTTGTATGGGGGACCCTCTAAAGCAGTGTTTCCCAACGTGGGGCGCACGCACCACCGGGGGGCAATTTGTAATTTCAGGGGGGCAATTTGAAAAGTTTGGTGATTATAATGTAATGTAGTATAGTATCGGTAAAACATTTCACAAAAAAATGCTTTTTAGATTTAGAATAATAAGTTAACCCGGTTTAGCCGGGACGGTTTTAGTTTTCAACTTTGCTTTCCTGGTGCCGGATTTATGATTTTTCTGCCGGATTGACTTGACTTTTTAAAAAGATTAGCTTGAATTTGAATTTTTCTCATTTCTTTATAATAAAATTACAACTACCCATTATAATCTAAAAATTATATATGCAATGAACTTCATATAAAACTAACAAAAACATTATGAAAGAGAATGTTGCGGAATGCAACAATGCTTTCGGTTCCAGTAGCCTTTCACTAATTATTTCAAACTTTTATATTCCAATTTACGAAAATTACCAAAAAATGAGCTAAATCAAGTTTCTGACTGCTTGGCATAAGTGCTTTAAGGTCAGTGACAAGACTCGAGTTGAAATATGCACAAGAAAAGTGAGTTAGTTCATATATTAATATTGTTACACTTTTAGTGAAATAAGAACTGAACTAATGGAGCATGGCGTTTGACATGCGCGTGGTTCGCTTTTGTTTGAAATTTTCAATCTGCGCATATTATTCATCATGTACGTTCGTGTTCGTACGTTAGGTGTGGACGCACCTTTACACAAACATACACATACACGCAAATAGACAGAAGTTTTTGCCAGAAGTTTCTGCCAGAAGTCTTTGCCAGAAGTCTTTGCCAGAAGTTTCTGCTAGAAGTCTTTGCCAGAAGTTTCTGCTAGAAGTCTTTGCCAGAAGTCTCTGCCAGAAGTCTCTGCCAGAAGTTTCTGCTAGAAGTCTTTGCCAGAAGTTTCTGCCAGAAGCTTCTGCTAGAAGTCTCTGCTAGAAGTTTTTGCCAAAAGTCTCTGCCAGAAGTTTCTGCCAGAAGTCTCTGCCAGAAGTTTCTGCTAGAAGTCTTTGCCAGAAGTTTCTGCTAGAAGTCTTTGCCAGAAGTCTTTGCCAGAAGTTTCTGCTAAAAGTCTTTGCCAGAAGTTTCTGCTAGAAGTCTTTGCCAGAAGTTTCTGCTAGAAGTTTCTGCCAGAAGTTTCTGCCAGAAGTCTCTGCCAGAAGTATCTGCCAGAAGCTTCTGCTAGAAGTCTTTGCCAGACGTTTCTGCCAGAAGTCTCTGCCAGAAGTTTCTGCTAGAAGTCTCTGCCATAAGTTTCTGCTAAAAGTCTTTGCCAGAAGTTTCTGCCAGAAGTTTCTGACAGAAGTCTTTGCCAGAAGTTTCTGCTAGAAGTCTTTGCCAGAAGTTTCTGCTAGAAGTCTTTGCCAGAAGTTTCTGCCAGAAGTCTTTGCCAGAAGTCTTTGCCAGAAGTCTCTGCCAGAAGTTTCTGCCAGAAGTCTCTTCCAGAAGTTTTTGCCAGAAGTTTCTTCTAGAAGTCTTTGCCAGAAGCTTCTGCTGGAAGTCTTTGCCAGAAGCTTCTGCTAGAAGTCTTTGCCAGAAGTCTCTGCCAGAAGTTTCTGCCAGAAGTCTCTGCCAGAAGTTTCTGCTAGAAGTCTTTGCCAGAAGTTTCTGCCAGAAGCTTCTGCTAGA